GCTTGGCTTGGCCAGGGAGGCTGGGGACAGGGAAACAGCACTCCATACTCTGGCTCTAGCTTCCCTGCCAAGATTTTGTTATTATTTTTTTATTTGAACTTAAATCATGTAATAAACTTGCCAGTGGCAAACCAGAAACTGTCCTCTTTGTTTGGGGAATGAAGTTGGGAAAGTCACCAGTGTTTTCCTTGAATGTCCACTTCCATCCTCCAGTCCTCTCAGGTCTGGGAAGCTGATTCCTCCATGACTAAGAATGAACTTTATATAAATTAAATCACCCTTTCAGTCTTCAGGAGAAGCTTTGGGATAGAATGGAGGATTAAGTCACGTGTCTACTGAACTGCCAGCTAGGCAGTGTAGTCCCCCTTCCTGCTAATGATGGGGATATAAATTTGAGCAGGTATTTATGGGGATTATGTATTTATTTATTTTAACTTATTTTTTAATATTTATTTTTGAGAGACACACAGGGTAAGCGGGGGAGAGGCAGAGAGAGAGGGAAACAGAATCCAAAGCAGGCTCCAGGCTCTGAGGTGTCAGTACAGAGCCTGATGTGGAGATCGAACTCATGAGCTGTGAGATCATGACCTGAACTAAAGTCAGACGCTTAACTGACTGAGCCATGCAGGCGCCTCTATGGGGATTTTTTTTTTTTTTTTTTTAAAGTAAGCTCTATACCTAATGTAGGAGGACTTGAACTCAAAACCCCAAGAGCAAAAGTAGCTTGCTTTACCCACTGAACCAGGTAGGCACCCCTGGAGGGATTTTTTATGGGAAAGAACTACTCTGGCAGGATAGTACTGCTCCGTGCTTAAAGGGTCCTCAGGGACTGAGAACACTCGTTTGTTCGAAAACATTGTCTGCTATGTGCCAAGCTCAGTGCTAGGAGTAGATTATAAAAGCTGTTTAGACCTAGTGGCGCCTGCTTTCACAGAATATCAGGTTGGGCAGGGAAGACACAGAGATACAAAATAGTAAGTGCTAGGATGGAAGAAAATTCTGGTTGAGGGATCCTGGAGGGAGGAGCATGCCAGCTGTGGGCAGCAAGGTTGCCAACTCTCCCACTGAGCTCAGGCTGGAAACATTAACACATTCACCAGGCTAGGGTTTGGTACTAGAACATGCAAAGGCCCATGGTTCCAGAGAAGTTGGAACATTCCTGAGACTGAAGGGTGGGTGGGATGTTAGGTAGTGTGACTGTATGGCAAGAGTCACGTCATAAGAAATAGAGTGCTGAAGAGTTTGGACTTCAGCTTTAGGGTAGGGAGGGATCCATGAAGGGTGTTTTCTGCCTTCCCATGAAGACTTTCAGGAAGATTTAGGTAGTCACAGTGTTTTAGATACAGCTGTCCTGTTGGAATGTGGACAGGGTATTTGAAGGAGAGGTGAGAGGCTGAACAACAATCCTGGAGTAAGAAGGCAATTTCAACAATGCTGGAGAGGGTGATGAGGCCTGAACTGAAGTAAGGAGTCATTGGGTTGGAGGTGCAGGGATGACATTTTCGACATATGTCTGAATTAGAATTTACTTCTGTATCATTCGATGACTGCTGAACCCCAAATACATGCCAGGCACTAAGGCTATAGTAATGAGGAAAACAATTCCCTGTTCTCAATGAGTTTAAGTTGTTTCATTTTAAGATTTATAAATTTTATTTCTTTTAAGGATTTTATTTTTTTTAAGTAATTTCTACACCCAACATGGGGCTTGAACTTGGAATTGTGAGATCAAGAATCACATGCTGCACCGACTGAGCCAGCCAGGTGTACCTCAATGAGTTTAAGTCCTATTTGGAAGGGACAAACCATTAATAAGATGTTTAGCATTTCTCACACTGGTGAGTTGTGCTATAGAAGAAATTAAAGAAAGGAAGGAATGTGGGGAATTTGGTGAAGTGGGCTGTAATCTAACATTAGAGGGTTCCAGGAAGCCTCTGGGTGTTTTATTTGAGCTTAGATATGGAGGGGAAGGCCCATTTGGGTACCGGGGAATAAAGCTGACCGGAGATCCCAAATGCAGGGGCCTGGAGGCAGAGCTTGCCTGCCTGATTACTGGAAGAGCAAAGGAGCTACAGGGGATGGAGCAGAGTTAAGGAAGCAAAGAAGTGGCAGCTAGATGAATCAGGGAGCTGGTGTGTAGACTCCCAGCGCTGCCGCTGCTGCCGTGTAGGACTCCTACAAGAGCTTGGGATTTGCTATGAAATGTGAAACCAGCAGAGGGTTTTTTTTCCCCCCATACAGGAAAGGGGGATCTTTTTTTTTTTTTTTTTTTACAAATAGTTTGTTGTCAAGTTGGTTGTTTTGTTTTTAATAGTAGCTTTACTGAGATGTAATTCATATAAAATACAATTAACCCATTTAAAGTGTAAATTCAATCATTTGTAGCATATTCAGAGCTGTACAACCATCACAATTTTAGAACATTTTCATCACCTCTCCTCCATTTGTATCCCACCACCAAAACCCTGTATCCATTAGCAGCCATTCTTCCTTCCCAGCCCTAGGGACCCACTAACTTACTATCCCTGTAGCTTTACATATTCACATAAATGGAGTAATGTAAAATGCTATTTTGTGATTGGCTTCTCTCACTCAACATAATATTTTTTTTTTACAAATAGTTTATTGTCAAGTTGGTTTCCATATAACACCCAGTGCTCATCCCCACAAGTGCCCTCTTCCATGCCCATCTCCCCCCTCCCCCCCCACATCCATCAGTCCTCGTTTGTTTCTCAGTATTCAAGAGTCTCTCATGGTTTGCCTCTCTCCCTTTCCCCCACCATTTCCCCCCTTCTTCCCCATGGTCCTCCGTTAAGTTCCTCCTAATCTTCCTATACTGCAAACATATGATATTTGTCCTTCTCTGCCTGACTTATTTCGCTCAGCATAACACCCTCAAGGTCCATCCATGTTGCTACACATGGCCAGATTTCATTCTTTCTCATTGCCATGTAGTATTCCATGGTATAGATAAGCCACATCTTGATCCATTCGTCGGTTGATGGACACTTGGGCTCTTTCCATGTTTTAGCTATTGTGGAGAGTGCTGCTATGAACATAAGGGTACATGTGCTCCTATGCATCAGCATTCCTGTATCCCTTGGATAAATTCCTAGCAGTGCTATTGCTGGGTCATAGGGGAGTTCTATTGTTATTTTCCTAAGAAACCTCCACACTGTTTTCCAGAGGGGCTCAACATGATAATTTTAAGATTCATCCATAATAGCATGTAGCAGTACTTCATTCCTCTTTATGACTGAACAATATTCAATTTTATACATATACTGTGTTTTGTTTATCTTTTCATCAGTGAAGGCCATTTGGGTTGTTCTGTTGCTATGAACTGTCATGTGCAAGTTTTTGTGTGAATATACGCTTTTCATTTCTCTTGGGTATTTGTCTAGAAATGAAATTGCTGGGACATATGGTAACTCTGTGTTTAACCTTTTGAAGAACTGCCAGTTTTCCAAAGCACCAATTTACAATCCCAAGGCAGTGCCCAAATTTCTCCACTATGATGCCAATCCTTGTTATTTGTCTTTTCTTTTTCTTTTTCTTTTTTTTTTTTTTTAATATTTTTATTTATTTCTAGAAGAGAGAGAGACAGCGTGAGCAGGGGAGGGTCAGAGAGAGAGGGAGATACAGACTCTGAAAAAGGCTTCAGGCTCTGAGCTGGCAGTCAGCACAGAGCCCGACCCGGCGCTCGAACCCAAAACCGCGAGATCATGACCTAAGCGAAAGTCGGACGCCTAACCGACTAAGCCACCCAGGTACCCCGTTATTTGTCTTTTCTATTATAGCCATCCTAGTGGGTTTGAAGTGGCATCTCTAGTATTTCCCTGATGGCTAATGATGTTGAGCATCTTTTTCTGTGCTAACTGGTCATTCTATATTTTCTTTGGAGAAATATCTATTCAGATCCTTTGCCCATTTTTTTCTTTAAGTAGGCTACACATGGAGCCCAACATGGGGCTTGAACTCACACCCTGAGATCAAGAACTAAGCTGAGATCAAGAGTTGGACACTTAGAGTGCAGTGCACCTGGGTGGCTTAGTTGATTAAGTGTCCAACTTTGGCTCAGGTCATGATTTCACGGTTTGTGAGTTTGAGCCCCACATGGGACTCTGTGCTGACAGCTTGAAGCATGGAGCCTGCTTCAGATTCAGTGTCTCCTTCCCTCTCTGCCCCTCCCCTGTTCACTCTCTCTCCCTCTCTCTTTCTCTCAAAAATAAACATTAAAAAAAATTGTACACTTAACCAACGGAGCCACCCAGGCACCCCTGTCCTTTGCCCATTTAAATTTTTTTAATTTACTTATTTATTTTATTTTTTAAATGTCTATTCATTTATTTTTGAGAGAGAAAGAAAGAAGAGGGGAGGGTCAGGGAGAGAATCCCAAGCAGCACAGAGCCCGATGCAGGGCTGGATCCCATGAACCAGTAGACCACCACCCCAGCCAAAACCAAGAGTCAGATGCTCAACTGACTGAGCCACCCAGGGACCCCTTATTTTTATTTTTTTTAAATAGGACTATGCCCAAGGTGAGACTTGAACTCATGACCCCAATATGAAGAGTTGCATGCTCTACCAACTGAGCCAGCCAGATGCCCCTACCTTTGCTCATTTTTAAATTGGGTTATTTTTTGAATTACTGAGTTGGAAGATAAAGTGAAAGACATGAAAAGGAGGAATAATAAAACCTATCAGTTGGTGTCAGCTAAGCAAATAGAAGAAAATAAATATTATTTATCCCTATTTTACAGATGAGGTAATGCCCAATAATGCCAGTGAGTGGCAGAGCTAGGATTCAAACTAAGTTTGATTCCAAAAGGCAGCTGTTAGCTTTAACCAAGAATGACCAGTGGTTCACTGAGCTCTTCTAGCTAAGTTCTTGCCCCAAATTCTCTACTACAGACCTGCGTTCCTTGAGGAACTTCCTCGGAGGCGTCAGTAGGTGGCGATAGGGCCCCTGTGGGCCACTCTGTCCGGCCCGCGTCCGTCTATGGTGCCAGTGCGCAGGCGTCATCGCTGCGCTTCCGGGCGCCGTTCAAGGTGAGCCGGGGGCTCCGAGGATCTCCTCGAAGTCCCTATTCCTCAATCCCATTTCCCGAATCGAACCATCCCCCGCACTCGCAACCTAGCGTGCTAAGTACCGGAGTCAGGGTGCCCAGGAGATGGCCAGGTAGCCACCAGAGGAGGCAGAGCTGTCCGGACGTGTGGGTCCCGGCGAGGCCCTTCCGGCTCTAGACCCCGCGCTTCTGCTTTGCTGCGCGGGGTAGGTCGTGACTCTGGTCTTCTGGCGTTCCTCGTTGTCCAGAAGCGGAGCGTGACTCCTCCCCTTGGTCCTCTTGGTCTCCACCAGGCGGCGCAGTCAGTCCGCCCCAGGTTCCCCTGCGCTGCGAGCCCTGGCCACCCCAGGGGTGTTGAGATTGGCAAGGAGAGAGGCGGAGAAATGAGCTGTCAGAGAGCAGTGTACCACTTGAAATAAGTTTCCCTCGTGGACTGTGCTTTTCGTCATTAGAATTTCCTGGAGTACATGTGCAAATCCCTATGCTCCACCCCCAAAGGTCCTGATTCAGTAGATCTGGGGTGGGGCCTGGAAATCAGCATTTTAAGCAGCTGCTCCAGGTTGATGCCCATAAGCTGCGGACCTCACCTTCAGAAACACCGGTATAACTGGTGGAGAGGAACATTGCATTGGGTTGGCTATGGGACTGTTTATCTTATGGAAGGCTTCCAAGAGGAAGTGATTCTAGCTGGGCTTTGAATTGAGGGACCAGAATATCCATTGCTTCTTTACCCCACAGTGATGAATTCCCTCCCCACTACCAGCAGGATGCAGAAGATCTCAGTGCTGTTCTTCCTGGCCTGGGTCGGCTTCCTCTTCTACGCTGGCATTGCCCTCTTCACCAGTGGTTTCCTGCTCACCCGTTTGGAGCTCACCAACCATAGCAGCTGCCAAGAACCCCCAGGCCCTGGGTCCCTGCCATGGGGAAGCCAAGGGAAGCCCGGGGCCTGCTGGATGGCTTCTCGATTCTCTCGTGTTGTGTTGGTGCTGATAGATGCTCTGCGATTTGACTTTGCCCAGCCCCAGCGCTCACACGGTCCTGGGGAACCTCCTGTCTCTCTGCCCTTCCTGGGGAAACTGGACTCCTTGCAGAGGATCCTGGAGATTCAGCCCCACCATGCCAGGCTCTACCAGTCTAAGGCTGATCCCCCCACCACCACCATGCAGCGCCTCAAGGCCCTTACCACTGGCTCACTGCCTACCTTTATCGATGCCGGCAGTAACTTTGCCAGCTATGCCATAGTGGAAGACAATCTCATTAAGCAGTTTGCCAGTGCAGGTTAGTTTGGGCCTCTTTGAAGGCCAAGAATACCTTAGCAAACTTTTTCTTTAGAAGTCAGAGAGCCAGAAATTTGGGTGCCCTGCTGCATGCTAAACTGTGCTGTGGGAGGACAGGGGAAGAGACAGAGACAAGGGCCCTGCATGCAGCAAGTACAGGTCTGGGCTTTGTCCTGGAGTTTCTAGTCTGCATGGAATGTTGGTTTTATTTTTGGGGAGCTCTCAGTAAGGGGCAGTGGAGAAATGAAGAGGAGAAGATACAAATCTGGTATCCTCACAAGTAAGAGAGCAGAGAGTCCATGCCCTGTCCACTCACTGACTTGGAAAAAGTAACATATACTCAGGAAAGACAGAGCAGCAAAGGTAGCCAAGAACTGAGAATTAGCAGAGCCTTTTGTAGAAAAAGTGAGAAGTCTGGTTATTGGGGAAAGTATGGTTATCAGGGAAAGCTTCTTGGCAGAAAATCTTAGGCCTTGGAAAATAAAGAGTTGCTGGATGGAATTGCTGTGCCTTAGAGTGCATGGTTGAGATTTCTGACGAGTCTTTAAAGGTCCCCCTTTTCTTTTTTCCTCTGCCTTGACTCCTGCTCAGGCTGTGATCTACTCTCATGTCCCTGCAGGAAGGCGTGTGATCTTCATGGGAGATGATACCTGGAAAGATCTTTTTCCTGGAGCTTTCTCTCAAGCTTTCTTCTTCCCATCTTTCAATGTCAGAGACCTGCACACAGTGGACAATGGCATCCTGGAACACCTCTACCCAACCAGTGAGCATGGGGCCAGAGGCAGGTCTGACTAAAACTAGAAGCTGGGGAGGGATGCTTCAGATCACAAATTCTGAGCCTCCTAAGGGTGCAGTGCCCTGGGCTTATGTCCCTTGACATAGTGTCGAAGGCTGGCTGGAGTTGAGGAGTGGGCCTTAGTTTCCTGTGCTCAGTGTTCTTCCTTTCACAGTGGACAGTAATGAATGGGATATGCTGATTGCTCACTTCCTGGGTGTAGATCACTGTGGCCACAAGCATGGCCCTCACCACCCTGAAATGGCCAAGAAACTTAGCCAAATGGACCAGGTGATCCAGTGAGTGTGGGTTATTGGCTGGGGAAGTGGGTTTGTGTCTGAGAATCTCAGGATATATTGGCCCAAGAGAAAAAGTCTTTACCTTGGATCCTCTTTCCTTCCTGAATTCTGTCTTTTCTAGGCCTTCCTTCCTTCCTTTCTTCCTTTCTTAATGTTTATTTATTTTTGAGAGAGAGAGAGAGAGCACGTGAGCACAAGCCGGGGAGGGGAAGAGAGAGAAGGAGTCACAGAATCCAAAGCAACTAGGCCTTTCTTTTAAAGCTAGGGGTCTCATTCATTTTGAGTAACTCAGCATGTGGCTTTGGGCAGTAGGTTTATGAATGAAGAGGTATCTCTTTGCTAAAAATCTGAGCCCTCCTGATGGAAGTTATGGCTGGGGGTAAAAGGGTTTCCAAGGAAAATCTTCATCCATTCCTACCCCCTGACATATTTCTTGGCCCTCAGGGGACTTGTGGAGCGTCTGGAGAATGACACACTGCTGGTGGTGATTGGGGACCATGGAATGACCATGACTGGGGACCACGGAGGGGATAGTGAGCTGGAGATCTCGGCTGCACTTTTTCTGTACAGTCCCATGGCCCTCTTTCCCAGTGCCCCACCACAGGTGAGGTCTGGGGTGTGCTTTGTCGGGTCTCCTGGTATTCAGCCTCATCATGATAACAGCATTCTTGTGGATCCCTCCATTTTAGGCCCCCAAATTCATGACCCTGGGCATTCCCCATTCATTTCCTACCTAGGTCCCTATGTCTTCCATTCCAAATCCTGACCTCACCTCTGTGGTGAACCCATTGGCCCCTCTCCTTTTCCTTTAGGAGCCAGAGATAGTTCCTCAAATCAACCTTGTACCTACGCTGGCCCTGCTGCTGGGCCTGCCCATTCCATTTGGGAACATCGGGGAGGTAATGGTTGAGCTGTTCTCAGTGGTTGAAGACCCCCAGCCTCACTCCTCTGCTCTGGCCCAAGCCTCAGCTCTCCATCTCAATGCCCAGCAGGTAGGTGATGGGTTGGGCTTCCAGGTATTAGAACTAGGGTGGGCATAGGAGAAGCATAATAATCACTCCATTGTCCTTTGTTCATTATAGTCCCACTGTCCATAGCCATGTCCTCCTTCCATTATCCCTCTCTTCCTCCCTGACCTGGACAGAGTTTGGGCCCCTGATTTCCAGATACCCACTTTGGTAACACTTACCCTTGCCTCTGTCCCAGTTTATATCTTTAATGTGTTCCCTTGGCCTCTGACCATTTTTGCAGGTATCCCGATTTCTTCACACATACTCAGCTGCTGCTCAGAACCTTCAAGTCAAGGAGCTTCATCAGCTTCAGAACCTCTTCTCCAAGGCCTCTGCTGACTACCAGCGGCTTCTGCAGAGTCCCCAGGGGGCTGAGGCAGCACTACAGACTGTGATTACTGAGCTGCAGCAGTTCCTGCGGGGAGTTCGGGCCATGTGCATTGAGTCTTGGGCTCGTTTCTCTTTGGTTCGCATGGCAGGGGGTGCTGCTCTCATGGCTGCTGCCTGCTTTCTTTGCTTGCTGGTATCCCAATGGGTAACATCCCCAGGCTTCTACTTCCGCCCCCTCCTCCTAACACCCGTGGCCTATGGTCTGGCTGGTGCCATAGTGTGTGCTGGACTCCTGACAACTATTGGGCTGAAGCTGGATCCAGTGGTCCTAGGGGCCATGGCTGCAGTGGTCTCGCTCCTGACGTTCCTATGGAAAGCCTGGGCTGTCTGGGGGGCCAAGAGACCCGTGACAGCTCTGCTTCCCACTCCTGGGCCTGTTCTGTTATTCCTGCTCATTCGTTTTGCTGCTTTCTTCTCTGATAGTTTTGTTGTAGCTGAGGCCAGGGCTACCCCCTTCCTCTTAGGCTCATTCATCTTGCTCCTGGTTGCCCAGCTTCACTGGGAGGGCAAGCTGCTGCCACCTAAGCTTCTCACAATACCCCGCTTTTGCCTTTCAGCCTCAACAGGCCCACCACGGCACAATGGCACACATGCCCTGGGACTTGGAGTTGGGTTGCTTTTATGTATAAGGCTAGCTGGGCTTTTTCATCGTTGCCCTGAAGAGACACCTGCTTGCCATTCCTCTCCCTGGCTGAGTCCCTTGGCATCCATGGTGGGTGGTCGAGCCAAGAATTTGTGGTATGGAGCTTGTGTGGGGGCTTTGGTAACCCTGTTAGCTGCTGTGCGCCTGTGGCTTCGCCGCTATAGTAACCTCAAGAGCCCTGAGCCCTCTGTGCTTTTTGTGCGCTGGGGGCTGCCCCTAATGGTTCTAGGCACTGCTGCTTACTGGGCATTGGCATCAGGGGCAGATGAAGTACCCCCACGTCTCCGGGCCCTGGTTGCTGGAGCATCAGTTGTGCTGCCCAGGGCCGTGGCAGGGTTGGCTGCTTCAGGGCTCATGCTGCTACTCTGGAGGCCTGTGACAGTGCTAGTGAAGGCTACGACGGGTGCTTCAAGGACCAGGACTGTCCTCACTCCATTCTCAGGCCCCCCAACTTCTCGTGCTGACCTGGATTATGTAGTTCCTCAAATCTACCGACATATGCAGGAGGAGTTCCGGGGTCGTCTAGAGAGGACCAAATCCCAAGGCCCTCTGACTGTGGCCGCTTATCAGTTGGGAAGTGTCTACTCAGCTGCAATGGTCACGGCTCTCACCCTCTTGGCCTTCCCACTTCTGCTTTTGCATGCAGAGCGCATCAGCCTTGTGTTCCTGCTTCTGTTTCTGCAGAGCTTCCTTCTCCTGCATCTGCTTGCTGCTGGGATACCCATCACCACCCCTGGTAAATACATTTCTCAGCCCTGATTCATCCAAGGACAGTAATGATGTGACTTCAGCCCCTCTTCTTTTCAGGGAGGTGTGCTTCTCTGATTCTTCACACACTTGGGAGGGTTCTCCAGATGTCCTCTTATCTTCTGTAGCCAAGCTAATTGATCCCTCCCACTGGCTCTCAAGGCCAGCAAGGTTCATGGAGGAGGGAGACAGGAGTACTCCAAGATTCATTTCTTATGGAAATGCTGCATCTTCATGAGTGCATTTCCTGATTTTCCAGTGATGGGAGTGGTGAATTATGAGTATGTAATGTTATAGTGAGCTGTGCATATATGAGAGAAAGAAAGAGATAGACCATAGTTCAGATGTTCGGATTAGAGTAATGGGTACTTAGTGCCACAGAGGGAATTAATAATAACAGTGTTGAATGTAAAGAGGTTGGGTGATGGGCGTGTGCAAGTGTGTATGAGCGTGTGTGTGTGTGTGTGTGTGTGTGTGTAGCACTGAAGTAGTAGGAATATATGATCATGAGGCAGTAGACTATGGATTAGAGAATGGGATGTGACTGTGAAGAGGTGTATCTCTTTCCCCAGGTCCTTTTACTGTGCCGTGGCAGGCAGTTTCTGCCTGGGCCCTCATGGCCACCCAGACATTCTACTCCACAGGCCACCAGCCTGTCTTTCCAGCCATTCATTGGCACGCTGCCTTCGTGGGATTCCCAGAGGGTCATGGCTCTTCCACCTGGCTGCCTGCTCTGCTGGTGGGAGCCAACACCTTTGCCTCCCATCTCCTCTTTGCAGGTACCTCCTCATTCCTCTCTTGCTTCCCTTGTTTACTCTGATTTTGAGAAGGATTTGAGTGGGGAGATGTGATTTAATTGGATCTTTGGCACCCCTTGGCCAATGCTAATTGGAGCCTCAGTCAACTAGAGTGGTTGCGGTCCAGGGTGTCCTGGCCCTGGGTCCTCCATTGATTCTAGCCTTGCCTTCCTCTGAGACAGTAGGTTGCCCATTGCTTCTGCTCTGGCCCTTTCTGTGTGAGAGTCAAGGATCCCGGAAGAGGTGGCAGCCCCTAGGGAATGAAGCTGAAGCCAGAGTCAGGTCTGAGGAGGAGGAGCCACTGATGGAGATGCGGCTCCGGGATGCACCTCATCACTTTAATGCAGCACTGCTGCAGCTGGGCCTCAAGTACCTCTTTGTTCTTGGTATTCAGGTAGGTGCAGGGAGAGACCTTTTCTCATGTGTGTACATCCCATTCTTTTTTTCATACTTTACCAAAACCCTGGGAGAGAGCCTTGACTGAAGTACAGATAAGCAAAATGGTTGCCCAAGACCATGGCCTCAAATGGTTATATTGAGACTTAAACCTGAGTCTCCTTAATCCTAGTGGTGGATTGTTTCTTCTCTACAAGCTAGATCTGGACCCTGCTGGTTGCATTTGGGGATACCTCCATTAGTGGACAGACTGGAAAACTGAGGTGATGGCCAGGGTTCTTTCCCAGGCTGTGGTCATGGATCTTCCTTCCCTTCAGAGGCAGAAGGTGTGACTCCGACATCTTCCTCCACCCTGGGAGACAGTGCCTGAGTATAAGCAGCACAGATAGATAGTACTTGCTCAGGGTCATACAGTGAGTCATGGTGAGGCCAGGAAAAGAATTAGATCTCCCAACTCCTCATCTAGGGTTTGTTTTGTTTTTTTTTTCACTGACATGCACTACTTTCCTACTCCTCCCATTCTTCACAGGGGTCTATAGCAACTCTCTCTTTGACCTGCTTCTTCCTCCCTTCCCAAATAGCTTGACCTTTCCTATTCTTTCTTAGATTCTGGCCTGTGCCTTGGCAGCCTCCATCCTCCGCAGGCATCTCATGGTCTGGAAGGTGTTTGCTCCCAAGTGAGTGGATTTGCTTGAGAAGTATTGGTTTTGGGGAGGGTGAAGCTTGGATGAAAGAGTGAACATCAGGGCGGGCAGGTTTTACCTCATCAGGGAAAAGGCCTCTAGATCTACTCTCAGTGTCCCCTGAGAATTCTCCACCTTTCTTTGCAGGTTCATTTTTGAGGCTGTGGGCTTCATTGTGAGCAGCGTGGGACTTTTCCTGGGCATAGCTTTGGTGATGCGAGTGGATGGTGCTGTGAGCTCCTGGTTCAGGCAGCTTGTTCTGGCCCAGCAGAGGTAGCCTAGGCTGCGAGTGCTGGCTTGTGGCCACAGAGAGAGCTGAAGAACAATCTAGCCTGGCCTATACAGGTGCTGGATCATCTGCAAGAGAGGCTTAGCCGCACTTCTTACCACCATACAGCCAGGAGCTACTGACATCTGGGACTTTATTATTTTATACTTCAAAATCATAGTGGGGCATGGTCCCTAACTCCTGCTTTGGATGCATCTAAGGAACTTGAAGGTGGTCTCCAAAGTAGAATAAAATAATAATGTAAATATGTGTATCTGAGGTGGGGAGCCCCCACTGTCCTACAGAGACTAGGAGGAGGATCATGGTCCCCTCCCATGAGGGGGACAGATCTTGTGCAGACCTGGCTACACCTAAAAACTTTAGGGAAGTGGTTAAAGTTGTCTGAATTCACTTCTCCTACCTCTTCCCAAATCACCCTTGTTATCCCACCTGCCTTTTTTTTTTTTTTTTTTTTTTTGCCATGTAACATATTTTATTAAATTCTTATGCTCTGGTTAATAGCAGAGACAGCTGGAAAGACAAGCACAGGCAACATGGAGTACACAGACCCACTGTCTAAAGCCCCAAAGTGTTGTATTCCCTCCTCTGTTGTGTTCTTTCATGCTAGAACACTCTTTGCCCTTCACTTCTGTGAGGGCCAGGAGGCCACCCTAGCTTTCCAACCTTTGCTGCCATTTATCAGACCTAATTGCCCATCTTACTTAGCATTCCATCTTGTCCCATTGATTATTCCTGACTTGAAGCCAAAACTGTGTAAATTTAATGCGTGTCTCTTATGCTCTCCATCCACCTCACTGCTGTGTAAGATTAAAGTGCAGGTGTGAAATTCTCATGGAAATTTCCATCAAAGGAGGGGGAGGAGAAGACCCGTGAGGAGAAAGGTCAGGACTGGGATTTGATGTTTGATAATGCCCAGGACAGGAGATGAAACAACTGAAAGAACAGATGTCAGATCATGGAACAGCACTTTCACTTGGTAGAAAGAAGAAAAACTAAGTAGCAGTGATGGTGAAGTAAAGGTGTTCACCACTGTGGCAGCTAAAGGAAGAGTTGGAGTTATTAGTGGCTAATAGTCTCTAGTGCTACAGAGGTCAAACAGAAAGATAAGCTCATACTGTTTCAGGCAGTTAGAGGATAGGACATTGGTAACCCTGGCAGGAATAGATTTAATAATGTAAGAGAAGAAGTTAGGTCCCAGCTAAAACTGTAAGATGAATTTTAAAAGTTCCCTTCCCCTTCCTTAATTTGGGGGACACTATTCCTAAGCATCATTTAATGAGCAGACAGTGCCTCTGTGATAAGAAAAGACCCCTTCCCTCCCCTAGCACCCATGAGAAAGATTTCAGAGCCCAGTCACTCACCTTGTCCTAGCCAGATTCTCCCCAAACCCATTCCTTTTTTGCAGAAAGTCTCATTCCCTGGAGCCTAAGGAAAATCAGTTCTGCCAACCATTGGGTATTTCTTCTCTGATCTAACTACAAGGTCCTTTTAGAGAAAGATCTATTAAAAATTCCTGGGGGTGCCTGGGTGGCTCAGTCAGTTAGAGTCTGACCTCAGCTCAAGTCATGATCTCACAGTTCATGGGTTTGAGCCCTGTGTTGCGTTCTGTGATGCCAGTGCAGAGCCTGGAGCCTGCTTGGGATTCTGTGTCTCCCCCTCTCTGCCTCTCCCCTGCTCACGCTCTCTCACTCTCTCTCAAAAATGAATAAACATTTTAAAAAATTAAAAATTCTTGGGGTACCTGAGTGGCTTAGTCAGTTGATCATCTGACTCTTGTATTCTGTTCAGGTCATGATCCCAGGGTCATGGGATCCAGCCCCATGAGCCCCTCTGCTTAAAATTTTCTCTCCCTCTCTGCCCTTCTCCCCTGCTTGTGCTCTCTCTCTTTCTCTCAAAAAAAAATTATCATTTTTGCCTCTTACTTGCCATCAAAGAAACCATTACACGTTAACTTACCATTTGTTGTTTTGTTTTGAGAGAGTGTGTGAACTGGGGAGGGGCAGACGGAGAGGGAGAGAGAATCTTAAGCAGGCTCCATGTTCAGCACTGAGCTTGATGCAGGGCTTTAATATCCCATCACCCTGGGATCATGACCTGAGCCAAAATTGAGTGTCCAATACTAAACCAACTGTACCACCAGGGTACCGCTTTTATTTTTTTAAGAGCTTTATTGACGTACAATTTACCATAAAATTCAGCCATTTAATGTGCACAATTTGGGGTGCCTGGATGGCTCAGTCAGTTAAGCATCTGGCTCAATTTCAGCTCAGGTCAGGATCTCACAGTTGGGAGATCAAGCCCAATGTTGGCCTCAGCAGTGGGCATGGAGTTTGCTTAAGAATCACTCTCTCCCTCTCCCTCTGGCCTTCCACCGCACACACATACACACTCTTTCTCTCTCTCAAAAAAAAAAAGTGCATAATTCAGTAATTTTTAGTATATTCAAGAATTGTACAACCATCATCACAGTTAATTTTAGAACATTTTCATCACCCCAAAAAGAAACTCCGTACTCTTTCCTATTATCTGCCAATCCTCCTTACCTCCATCCCTAACCCTAGGCAACCACTAATCTGCCTTCTGACTATATTTGCCTATTTTGGACATTTCATATAAATGGAATTTTATAATATGTAGCCTTTTATGGCTTTCACTCAGCCTGATGTTTTCAAGGTTCATCCATGTTGCAGTACATGTGAGTATTTCATTTCTTATGGCCAAATAATGTTCCATTGTATGGATATATCAATTTTGTTTATTCATTCATCTACTGATGGACATTTGGGTTCTTTGTACCTTTCGGTTATTATGAATAATGCTGCTCTGAACATCGATATACAAGTTTTGTTTGGATGTCTGTTTTTTTTTTTTTCACATATGGTTAGTGGAATTCTTGTGGAATTGCTAGGTCCTATGGTAAATCCATGTTTAACTTAAAAAAAATATTTTTAATTAATGTTTTATTTATTTCTGAGAGAGAGAGAGAGAGACAGATACAGTGTGAGCAAGGGAGGGTCAGAAAGAGAAGGAACTACAGAATTTGGAGCAGGCTCCAGGCTCTGAGCTAGCTGTTAGCACAGAGCCCAACGCAGGGCTCAAACCCACGAACCGTGAGATCATGACCTGAGCTGAAGTTGAACACTTAGCCGACTGAGCCACCCTGCCACCCATGTTTAACTTTTTGAGGAACTGCCAGTTTGTTTTCCAAGGCTGCTGTGCCATTTAATATTCCTATCATTAGTGTATGAGGGTACCAATTTCTATACATCCATGACTTTACTTACTATTAACTATTTTTGATTCTAATCATTCTAGCAGGTGTGGAACGGTATCTCATTGTGTTTTTGGTTTGCATGTCCTTGATGACTAGTGATATTGAGCATTTTTCTTATGCTTATTGGAGAACTGTCCATTCAGATCCTTTCTCTGCTTATTAATTGGGTTTTCTTCTTATTTTTGAGCTATAAGCATTGACTGTTTATATACTCTAGATAGAAGTCCCTTGTCAGACATATGATTTGCAAATATTTTATTCATCTGTGGGTTGTCTTTTTTTTTTTTAAAGCAGGCTTCACACCCAAGGTGAGGCTTGAACTCATGACCTTGAGATCAAGAGTCACATGCTCTACCAAGTGAGGCAGCCATCCCAGGCATTTCATTTTCTCCATAGTGTTCTTTGAAGCACAAAATTTTTTAAATTTTGATGAAGTCCAATTCGTCCTATTTTTCTTTTGCTGACACTTTTGGTGTCAAAAGTAAGAAATCTTGTCTAGTGACACAATTCAGTTATAGAAATTTTTATCACTCCCATAAAGTCCCTATATTTTGTTTACAAGGAATCCCCCATTTCACTGTAGGCCACTGATCTGTTTTCTGTTTTTCTAAATTTGTCTTTTCTGAACATGTGATACAAATGGAATCATCAAATATGTGGTCTTTTGGTCTGGTTTCTTTGATGCATGTATCAGTTTTTGCCACTTTTTATCGCTGAGTCATATTCCATTATATAGCTATGATAAGCCATTGGACATTTGGATTGTTTTTAGTTTTTTTGTTTTTTTTTAGCTATTATGAATATTTTTGTAGCTGTTATTAGCATTTGCATACCAGTCTTGGTGTAGACATAATTTTTTTGTTTTTTGTTTTTCTTTTTAAGAGAGAGAGGGCGCAAGTGAGCAAGGAGCGGAGAGAGGGAGAGAGGGAGAGAGGGAGAGAGAAGCTCACTCGTAGTGGGGCTCAAGTTCACCTGACGCAGGACTTGAACTCATGAATGGTGAGATCATGACCTGAGCTGAAGTCAGATGCTTAACTGACTAAGCCACCCAGGCACCCTTGTTTTTGTTTTTCTTGAGAGGATTCCTTGGAGGGTTATTGCTGTATGATTTACTTTTTTTAGAAATTGCCAAACTATTTTCTAAGGTATCTATAATGTTTTATGCTCCCACTATGTATGAAGGTTTTAGTTTCTCCACATCCTCACCAACAATTGGTATTATCTGTTTTGTTTTGTGGTAGGTTTTTTGTTTGTTTTGTTCTGTTTTTTAAGTAGGCTCCACACCCAATGTAGAGCTGGAACTCAAGACCTTGAGATCAAGAGTTCCATGCTGTACTGACTCAGCCAGCCACACGCCTTTGGTATTCTCTGTTTTTGTTTTTTTTTGTTTTTAATTTTTGTTAATGGTTTATTTTATTTTTGATGAGAGACAGAGTGTGAGCAGGGGAAGGAGAGAGAGAGAGAGAGAGAGAGAGAGAGAATCTGAAGCAGGCTCCAGGCTCTGAGCTGTCAGCACAGAACTAGATGCAGGGCTTGAACCCAGGAACCATAAGACCATGACGGGAGCGGCCAGTGTGTTTTCTTATTGTAACAATGTGTGTATGTGTACAATGGTATCTCAGGATTTTAATTTGCATTTCCTTGATGGCTAATGATGTTGATCATCTTTTTATGTGCTGCTTAGCCATTCATGTATTGTTTTTAAATGCCTATTCATATCTTTCTGTCTTAAAATGGTTTATTTTTATTATCAAGCTTTGAGAGTTATGTATTGTGGATACAGATCTGTTATGAGGTGTATGCTCTGCAAGTAATTTCTCCACTTTATGATTTTTCTTTGAATTATCTTGATGGTGCCTTTTTGTAGCACAAATATTTGTTTTTGTTCTTTTATTTAAGTTTATTTATTTTGAGAAAGAGCGTGCGTGGGTTGGGAGAGGCAGAGAGAAAGAGAAAATATCCATAGCAGGCTCTGCACCAGTAGCCCAGAGCTCTACCCCAGGCTCCATTTCTCCAACCTGAGATCATGACCTGAGCTGAAACTAAGAATCTGACGCTTAACCACTGAGCCACCCAGGCGCCCCAAGAGGTGTGTGTTTGTTTTTGTTTTGCCCCAAGAATTTTTAATGTTAATGAAGTTCTACTTATCCATGTTGAGTTGATTTTATCTATGGTAAGGGTTACAGTTTTGTTTTGTTTTGATATAAGGATATCCAAGTGTCCCGAGTCCATTTGTTGAAAGGATTCGGAGGTACCTTTCAGCAGTGCGGATTGCTCAAGCCCAGGGTCACCGGGGTCAGCAATCAGACTGCACGAGGTTGAGCAGAACGTGGTAGCGTGTTAGTGGAAGGAAGGGCTGGTTACCAAAAGCCTTGGTCTCCTTTCAGTTGCTTTTGGAGATGGCTTTGTGCTCCGTCTGGGCTTTTTGTGGCGGCTTTCGGCTGTACTACGCTTCCCAGCATGCACTGCTTCGGCCTCCCTTCTGCGGGGCGGGCGCAAAGCCAGACAGACCTGGGAGTTTGGCTGCTAGGGAAAGGCTAACCCACGGGTTTTGGTACCGAGATAGATTTCTCTGGGTTTTGGCCTGAGCGAGGGACTGGCCAGCAGAACCTTAAGAAGTACTACTTCCCCTCTCAGATACACCCAATCTTCTGACCCGCCTTAGCCTTTCTCTTGGGTCGGGCCCGGACTCGTTTCTTCCTCAAGTTTCCCGCGGGGACTAACCCTTGAAGACGACCAACCGCAGCCGAGAGTTTTGACCGCCGGGCCAACCAGAAACTAGGGGGAAGAGGCGGGGTGGTAGCCGGCACAGCGTCGGGCAGAGAGTTTTTCCTTTTCCATTTTTCCCGTAAGGGGCGAGTCGCCCCTCCTGGGGCCCTAAGGGGAGCAACGGAGTCACGAGGGGATGCAGAAGCGCACAGACCCTACCCTGCTCCGGTGGGGACCTCGCCGAAGCCGGCCTTACCCTTCAGCAGGCCCCCCCAGGGGTCCGGGCCCGACCTCGGCAACCTCGTCGCATCAGACCCCTCTGAGCTGCTTAGGACCACACGCCAGCTGCCTAGACCTGTGGAGGGAAAAGAATGACCAGCTAGTTCGACAGGCCAAGGTAACGTGGTTGCTGGGACTCTCGTTTTGCAGCCCCAAAACATCAGAAGGAGGGTTTCCCGTGGACTTACTGCAGCTGACGGGGAGGTATAGAGTTTGACCTTCTCCCAGGAGAGGAGCCAGAAATGACTGGAAAAGACAACCCTTGCTACTGTTGAAACGGGAGAAATAAGGATTGATCCTCAGTGATA